CAAACTTACTGAGGGAGCACTCAATCCCACATATACACAAATATATCCCACATATACACAAAAAATCCCACATATACATATACATATACACAAAGTTCCTCATGTAGAAGGAAGAAGCAACGTGGGATTGAGAGCAGTCATTAGTACTTAAAATTTTAACAGCACAAATCTAAATATTTTATATTGTGTTCAGTATATTTTCATGCAACAGAATCAATCAATTTTACTATCACCTAAATCTCCCTGGAACTCTTTTGGTTTTACATGAGTGTTTTTACATCCAGCTAAGAACAGGTGCTTTCAATAAATTTCTAGTAAGTATATGTTTTGTGAAAGCCATTAAACTGAGGCAAATTTCTAAGGAGGATTTTGTTACTGTCTTGATTCTTCCGGATTCCACATCTCAACGCCTGCACCTCTACTGCACAATGTGCTAGAGTGTAGAAATGCTGAAGTTAGTGAAACAGGATATATTACTTTGGGAGACAAATATCACTGTGTGATGATGGATATCGCTGATGTGACTATAAGCTAGGTTGTATAGAACTAGTTCAGGCATCTGTGTTGCACTTTTTTGTACAAGGTAAACATAGTTTTAGTTTTGTAGCCAAGATAAAATTATAATCCCTAGAAAACTTAACAGATGATCTTCAACCCAATTGCACTTCAATAGCTAAATAACATGTGTTCAACCTAAAGAAACAATGAAATGCACAGTTATAAATTATAAAACGAGTTTAATATATTCCATATGTAACAATTACATTATATAATCTTAAATTAATTCATACTTGTGATTACCAAATGTCCTGGTTTCGGCTGGGATAGAGTTAATTTTCTTCCTAGTAGCTGGTACAGTGCTGTGTTTTGGATTTAGGATGAGAATAATGTTGATAACACACTGATGTTTTAGTTGTTGCTAGGTAGTGCTTACACTAGTCAAGGACTTTTCAGCTTCTCATTCCCTGCCAGTGAGAAGCTGGGAGGGGGCACAGCCAGGACAGCTGACCCAAACTGGCCAAAGGGATGTTCCATACCATATGAAGTCATGCTCAGTATATAAGCTGGGGGGAGTTGGCCAGGGGTCAGCGACTGCTGCTCAGGAACTGGCTGGGCATCATTTGGCAGGTGGTGAGCAATTGCATTATGCATCACTTATTTTGTATATTATTTTATCATTATTATTATTATTATTTTCCCTTCCTTTTCTGTCCTATTAGGCTGTCTTTATCTCAGCCCACAAATTTTACTTTTTTTTCCCTGATTCTCTCCCCCATCCCACTGTCGGGGGGGGAGTGAGCAAACAGCTGTGTGGTGTTTAGGTGCCTGCTGGGTTAAACCACAACACCAAAGGAAGTGGTTAAAAAACCTCTTTTTTTCATTAATATTAGCTTTTCAAAAAAAAGTCCAGTTAAGTTAATTTAACTTATTTGGCTAAACAGAAGGAAGTGGGATTAATTCTTTCCACTGCAAATTCTAAGAGTCATGAAGTTACATAAAAGTTCCTTTCTAGACTAAATGTATCTAGAAAAAATATGAATTGGTGCTGATTATAATTCTTAATTTTCTTGTATGTGTAGCTGTTTAAATTCTATACTCTATAAGTATATCAGAATATAATCAGCAGATGATCTTTTAAAGTCTTACACTTACATCTCGTGAATCAACAGCAGCATACATAATATCCATCCATCCTTTGAAAGTAGCCTAGAAATAAAATACAGTTGTTTATCTTCCCTATAAAAATTCATAATGTGGAAAATAACTAGGTCACAGCACTTGGACCTTAACTTTTAATAAAATCATATCTAAATTTATAAACCACATCTAATAACACAGGCATAATAAAATATTTTTCATAGTAATTTTTTGAGAAATTATTTTTTAGGTATTCCAGAAATATTAAAAATCAGGCTCTGAAGGTCTCAGCAAGGGCACAGTGTGTTTGAAGCTGTAGAGGCCTTACTTTGCAGATGAAGAATGGTAGCCTCAGATAGACATTAATGCTGGAAATGTTCTGGTAGAATTTACTAGAATCACTCATGGTGACAGCCATTTTATCAAGTTTACAGCATGAATTGATGGAGTCAGCAATACAACTTCTGGACAGATACCAACATGCATCTGAATGTTTTTGCTATGGCTAAACTGCCATGGTATTTTTAGAAATGTTTTAATCCCACATAACTAAAAGGAATAGACTCTGTTCATAATAAAAATATACATTGGTTCTTGAGGGATAAGATTTACAGAAGAGCGAGTGGACTGTGAAAGAGCTGTAATTAGCTTTTATAAAACTTTGGGCTGAGTTCCTATAGAGACTTTGTCTAGGTAGAATAAAGAGTAAAAAATATCTGCCATCATTGCTCTAAGGAGGTGATTTTCATGGACATTGAATATCTGCTTTCTGAGGAACACCAAAGGGTTGGTGTGACATGCTAGTTGAAGGTGTGAGCGCCTGCTCACTAGCCAGATTTTCCAAGCTTATTCACAACAAAGAAAAAAAAGAGCTAAAAAGCCTGTGGAATGAACAGATAAAGAGCATCTCTCCTGAGGAGGTTCAGGAGAGGAACCATCCCAAGGAGTATATTTGCATCTGTGCTTGCCAGAAGTGAGCTCCGGTACTTTGGTACAGCTGCTAGTTTTCACAGCAGAAAACTTGCACTCCGGGAGTGTTCATATGCTCTTGAATCTTGCAGTGCAATACAGATTTACTAAGAAGGTATGCTTGGAGCCAGGCTTCATAAATCTTTCTGGCTCAGTTGACAATTGACAGCTATTTGGTGCACTTTGCATAGCACCATTGGAAGAGGAGCAGAGTTTGATAAGAGCAATAAATACAGAAGAGTGGAGGGAGAATGTTAATGGAGACAGTCAGCTGAAGAGGTGACATAATACATGCTCAAGGATCCCTTAATTTCTGCAGGAAAAGTAAAGGGCAGAAGGGAATATTTGAAAAAGAAAATAATGAAAAATCAGAACAAAAAGAAATAAAGAAAGAGAAGAAGAACAAAAGGTCCACAGTAGTGATGTAGTAATTAAAGACCAACACTGTCTGGATGGGTGACATGGATGACATTCAGACACAGCTTCAAGAGACTAGAAGTTTTCTTTATACATCTTCAGAGGCAAGTATTTGTAGTAAGATGGTTCACTTTAATCTCTAGTACAAGGATAGCAATGAGATCTGAAGTCAGAGAATTAGAATCGTCATTCAGTACTACTGCTCAGCACATGAGAGTCACGTTGCCTTTAGAGGCAAAACATTTTAAGCCAGGTAGTTAATTTGGGAATCAAGGTCAGCTAGGGATACTGACCTGCTCCGGGGTAGAAGGGACAAGCATATCATTCTTAGATAACTTGGTCATACCAGAGCAGTAACAATCCCATGACATTTCTGACCTCTTTTCATACAGTGAAGCTGTATGTCAGGTTATAGACAAATGATTCTACAGAGCTCAATCATCTAAGCATAATTGCTTGCTTGCTTGCTTTCTTGCTTGTATTTTGGGTCAGATATCAGCTATCAGAAGCTCCATTCTAAGCCAAGGAGCCTGTAAAGAGCTAAGGTCTTTAGTCCTCTTGCATAGGTAAAAGGTATGCTCAGTACCTAGAACAAAGTCGTCTCTGTATCACAGTGCATAGGAAAAGGACTTAAAGGGGAAATCCAATTTACAGACTTTGTATAAGTAGCAATAATTAATAGAATGAATATGCCATGCAATACAATAACATCTAATACTTCACAAGTATAATACTATAAGTAAAATATTTAGTATATTATAATGACTCCTTAACAAGCATTAATGGAATATGATAGTTAAAAATCATGAGTATTTTTTTGTGATAAAAGTATTTTACATTTTCCTATTTTACCCACAGTTTAATGTCTTTGTAGTTTTATGTACTTCTTAATGAAATATATTTATTTTAGTAGCAAGTGCTGTTTATCTGCAAACATCAAGAGAAAGTGTTATATGATTAATCAGACCTAATACTCAATTAGGATCTGTCTATCAGTAACTATCCATATTCTTCCCATGGGCAGTTCCTACTTCTCTCAGAGGATTTCAGAACTCTTACACAAGTATTATGATAATAAAAAATTGGCTCCTTGCTACATGAAACATTGGGTGCCCCAATCTCAGATCTTGCATTATTTATGATTCCTTTCCCTAAACCAACTTCCAGGTCTGGAAAATCAAGCCCCTATTAAACAAATATCTGCACTGGAGACACTAGGTATTTTTATTTTTACCATTTAACTTACAAACTGGTTCCTTAAATGACTATGGACATGAAGAAAAATCCACTCTACCTTGACCGGGCTGTTGACAAAAGAAAAATTATTTCACAGTGCCAAAAGTGCCTAGATTAATGGATTTTGACTGTGAAAGATGTTGCTGTGGATGTGTAATGATACCTAGCAAGAGATTATGTGGGAGGCATTGGCGATAGTTGCTCACTTCAGACCAGGCAGTCAGTTAGGATGTCTGCCCTCTTTTAAGCTGCTGTCTGCCCTCCTGTCTTTCAAGATAACTGAGCTCATAAAAGAGAGACCTTTTTAATAATTAGAGGGACTTCTGAGCCTTGTCTACCATGGCAAGACTCATGAAATGCATTCCTGAAGTTTATATTGTGCACAACTAAAAAGATTCTTGTACCTTTTTCACTTACTTTTTCACATTATTATCATTATGATGAGACTGTGTTCCCTAGCCTTGGAATGGAAAGTAACTCTACTCTCATTAATAAAAAAATTACAGGTAACAATGCAATAGAGTTGTGTAAGCTGTACATCATTGCTATGAAGAAATTATTCCATTACTTAACACTCTTAACTTGCCCATTTTTCCTAGACTTCTTTAAAAAGAGCAAAAAGAAAATATATAAATTTACTTACTACTTGAAGCAGAGCAAGATATCCAGCTCCTACATTATCAAAGTTTACTTTCACATTTTTCCAGCGGGCACTTTGGTTGTTTTTTATGAGTTCCTCACACTGAGTATAATTGTTGACATCACTGACATCAAACATCTCACCAGTTGTGGTGTTGACACAGTGATAGAATTTGCCAGCAAACAGATTTACTCCCATGATGCTGAAGATGAGCCAGAATATAAGACAAACCAGCAATACATTCATGATAGATGGAATTGCTCCTACAAGGGCATTTACAACCACCTAGTGTACAAATTAGACAAAATAGCCACTTAGTTTATGAACAGAAAAATAAAAATACTTTTAAAATGTTAAAACAGTATTAATATGGAATGGACAGTTAAAATATTACATTAAAAATTTAAGGGGGAAACATTATTTAAGGTTCAATAAAAACACGAATGAAATTGCAAAAAGCAAGAAATAAAATTATATGGAAACCAAGACAATGCAAAAGTCTGAAAGAAAACTCCAAAAGCAAAAGAAAACCTGTTAGTAGCAAGATGGATTCTTAGAATTTGTGTGCTCTAGAGAAAAAGAGAGAAATAAATGTTAAATTCCAACAATACAAATCAAAATCTATAAATAGAAAATAAACCAGAAAAAGATCAAAGAATGAGGATGTGGAAGACTGAATAAAAATGTCTCCATGTAAAACTATCATTGCTAATGATTTTATTATCAGAAACTTTATGTGTATATTGGCACCACTGTATTTTAGTATCTACATACAACGTGACATAATTAAGCACATGTTACTTAGTTTTTATTAACCGCATCTGCTATAAGTCTTGGTTTTAAATTGCCTGGCTCACTATAGTTGCTATTACACATACCCGTTAGTGTTTTTTTAAAATTGGCTGCATTTCATACAATTGAGCTACTCTATATGGGCAAGTGGCAGTAAAAGATCAGATGAAATCCCTTCACAAAAATTTTCTTTTACTTACTTATTGTGATTGAACTAAAAGAAAGCCGCAGATATTCAGACAATAATTTCCTACCAAATCAGTAGAGACTGCAGTAGTTTTTTGTGTATGGTTTTGAAAATAGTAGTATTTTTTTAATTCACTAATTTGACTAAAAATAGTCAATAGATCAATAGAGGTTTTGCCCATTTATTAGATAGGGACTTACATGTTGTTTGCAATGCAAATTATGTAAAACATAGTGGTGATGGCGATATGCCACAGGACAGACTCCGCTACACTGGCTAGCGTGGCCACCTCTAGAATATCAGAAGCCTTAACTCAGACAGGAACTACACTGTTTATTTGGAAACTTAAGACCTATGACCAAACTATAAACATGTATTGCAGCATCTGGGTATTTTGAGGTGAAAGATTAAAAGGAGATTTCTCAATAACATTAACTTGTTAAATTTTATGCATCAGTTTTTCCAGGAAATAGCATAGTCTGCATTTTCAGCAGATAACTTGTAATAGTTTGGGGGGTGTGTGTGTGTGTGTCAAATTGGCAGAATATGAAAATAATAATTTCCTCAACAGGAAGGATTTAGCTGTGTAGGAGGAGAGGTAAAGTGGCAGCAGATGCATTCATATGAAGTAAAGGACACTAGCTGAGTAAATGATTTCCCATCTTCTATATTTCCAACCCCATCCTTATTTCAGGTATCTGTTCAGAGAACCTTTCCCTAATACTACAGCATTTATTGTGGGATTTTTTTCCCCATGCAGGTAGATGGGGAACCACAGGGAGGCTTTAGTTTCTGGTGTGTCATTGTTGTCAGCTTCTTCACCTTTTGTTTTATTCTGTTTTGTTTTGTTTTCTGGCTAATCCTGTTCCATCCTGAACTACTGACAAACTAACAGAGAATAGAAGTTAGCCACAGAAATTAATAAAATAAAGTCCCCAGTTAAACTGGAGAATAAAGCCCCAACCCTCTGTTCTAAAATTTCTCATGTTCTTTTACTTTTCTGTATAGGTCCACAAATCAATGGAAATTTTAACAGTCGGGGGGCTGGGACACCACAACTATGCAGCAGTGAGCAGGCAAATTTAATGAGCTCAAAGTCTAATCTCCAAATGTTAAGCTGTACACAGGTCTTTGTGTATAAGGACATGTCAGAAGGCCTTTTTTCCACACATTTTTGCATGCGTTCCCATTCTGGAGTTCTTTGCAGAAGGCATGAGTGTCACACTTCTACGTTAATTTTTGTATGCATACATTCATTCAGACTCATTCATTTTCTCTCACCCTCATTCCTTCAAATCGTGACAAGGCTCTTAAAGGTCTTAAAGCTCTTAATGTCCGAAGCGATTTAATGGCACCAAGTTCAGAATAGCCCAAAGCATTGGCTATTAAACTAACCAATGAGACCTACAAAAATACAGAAAAAATATTATCATAAAAATTGTTCTACAGTGTTTATTTAAAAAGAATACAGATTTAATCAACAGAAAGATCAACAGTGGCAAATAGAAGAACACCATTCTTGCTTACAGTGACATTGGAGGCCCAATCCCACAATTTTCATACTTGCTGGAAAGGCAAGAGGTCATATGAAGGCATGTTTGAAAAAGGAATATATGCTATTAAATGTCTGTTATAGCTGGATAGGGTTTAACAGTCAGATGGAAGCACACTGTTGGTGAAGGATAACATTTTCAGAAATATTTAAAGACAAAATAGACATACTTCTAGTAACTTCATTAAGGTTCAACCTTCCAAGCAATTTAAAATTCAGAATACATTAGGATAGTTTATTAACTACTGACAATGTTATTAATATCTATAATCACTAATAATATGCTAAATAATGTAGTGGTTAATTAGCTTTTGTTATAAATATAACTTCTAAGTCAAACACTCAGTTCATAGCAACAATAGCCAGGGTATCTATGAAATACATATTGACAGAGGTGGTACTTTCTCACTTGCCTGACAACTCTCTCAATAATTTTTTTTTCTCTTCTCAGTATAGTAAAATATTATGGGATAGATATTAACAGATGCTAGCATTATAACAGTAAGTTCTTTATTATCTACAACGGTAGTGAGCTCCTGATTCATGTTACCAGGATTTTATTATAAGCCAGTCCACTTCAGGAAGGAGCAATTAATTTGCTTCTCAAACGGAACTGAGTTTTAAACAGTGTTAATGTGAAAGAATTTGATTTACTTACTTTGAGAAGTTTTGGAAACAGGAGAGGGGAAATATCATACCTTACTCATATTTTATTCAGTTCTACCATCAAAAGCATAGAAAGCACATAAATGAACATAGGCATATTTCAGTCCTTGAAAAAATCCCTCAAATGTTCATTTCTGTACCTCAATCTAGAGAGTTCTTCAAATAATTGACTGTACAGAAATAGGCATTCACCCATAATGGTGGTAAGATTTTGTCCATTATATGAAAAGGTGGTTTCGTATGTTACTTGTATCCATAAAGAACAATTAGATGAATTACAAACACAAGAGTTACAAGACCATGTCTCAAAAGGACAATCTGAGAGCAGATAGAAATCAATTATTCATTATTATGTTGCTATGTAAATTAATCTAACAGAAAATAGTATTTTAGTGAATTCATATCACTAGATCTTTCAACTGGATTACATGTCAGGATGTAATTCTTTTTATCAAAGGAAAGGCTTATGTTATTGCTGTAATGGATAAGTTTCTAAAGGAACTTGCTGTGATTTATAAGCATATTAAGAAGAAAATCTTACTGATTTTCTGTAGTCTGTAACTGAAGTCTGTTCACTTACAAGAGATAACATTATTGTTTCTGCAATTACATTAATTATGTCATTAATTGTTGTTAATAATTGTCATTAATACAATTTATTTGACCTGTGATTCTACAGTAAGAGAGTTCTTTTTTATCCTTAGCCACTCTTAATATATTACAGAGATAACAAGACATGGAATTCTCTGTATTTTTAATTGATTCACTCACATCAACAAGATACCCAGACAAGACAATAAACTTTAGTGTAAAAACAGCACATTTTACAGATTAAAAATAAACTATGAAATATATATTAAAAACATATGTCTCTCACTAGGAGAGCAAGACATCTCTTTTAAAACTGAACTAGCATTAATGGCTCATTCATTTTATACTTTTCTCCCCAGACTAGCACTGTGCCTTAGCTATCTTTTGCAAACAAGACTCCATACAAGCCAGTTACATAGCTGTAGCTCCTGTAACTTCAGTGGCACTGTGTATGTTGGCAGTTTTTAGGTTCTGATTGTAAGTCATTCTGCAGCCTACTTTGTGCTTTCCATTTCAACCTATTTGCAGCTTTCTTACCATGGTGCTAATGCTCTTACGTCATAAACCTGAAGTTGTTTCACAGAGAAATACTTCATCTATTGTAAACAACACATTTTCTTCTGCAGGACAGTTCAAGTGAGAGGCAAAGATTTGCTTGGAATTCTATGATATTAATTCTATTCTATGTACAGCATAAGTATAGACAGCTGTTCTGTACTGCTCTGGTTTTCTCAGTTTTGTTGCTAGTACGTGAGAAAATAAATGTCTCTGTACACTGATAAATAGATAAATTTATTTCTTTTGAGACACAAATGCATGCAGATGCAGTAACTTTAAGAAATGAAAATGAACTCAAAATGGTGGAAAGAATTTTTACATTCGTCTCCTAAAACTGGAGGGTTGTGTGACCAACTTTTAATGTACTATACAACAAGCCCAATTGGAGGGTTGTTTTGCTACATTTAATTGTTCAAAAACTGTACCCATTGGAATTTTATCAGGCATGAGCAATTTCAGGACGGTCAAAGATTTCATTCCACTTACAGATTCATTACTGCCCCACAGTATTTGGCAAATACATTATTTGTTTTAAATGTTATACTGTATTTCTTTTTCATTCAAGTACAATTTATTAACACAATAATTTAGAAATAAACTGTCTATACCAAATTCTAGGACTACCTTATAAAGTTTAAAAATATACAGCATAAAACAGTATCCACTTAAGATTATCTAAGATTACACACCATAGCAGAAAACTATACAAACAAATTTAATAACTGACAAACTCATTGGGTATTCCCAAATTCCCCATCCCCTTCCCTGATGTCCAATCTCCTAGCTTTGTATGTGGTAAAGAGAACTTAGAGTCATTACAGCTGTACATCAAAACCTAGACATAATAAACTCATGACACATGGCTTCTGGAAAAAGGGGTAAGAGCAAAAACCAAGGTACAGGGTGAGACGCTCTATAGCATCTATTTGTACTGGGTTAAGATATTACTGTCTCAAGCCTTTACTAGATACTTCTGCCAGAATTAGTCTCCCCCAAAAAAGCGAATATGTCCCTGCTTCTCAGCTGCCTGCATCCAGTCTCTTAGCTTAAACCACTGATAAACGCGTTTGAACTAATTTACCAGATTGTGATTTTGGGTAGATAAGGCACTCCACTCAAATATCTGCAAGGAGCAAATATTGTTGCATCCAGCAGAAGAGTGGGGTGGAGAGATGGCATGATAAGCTCTTAAACTGAGGTAGCCAGATGTACCAAGACATCTGCCATGGCTGTAAACTGACAGAGCTGAAGATTGCCATTTCTTTGTGTAATTATTAAAATCTAATTTGGTCACAATCACTGAGAGCTACTATGGCTATTTCTCACAGTGAGAGACTCAGGTATGTAAGATATTAAAGGTCAAAGCCCTAAAGCACTATCAGTGTTTACTCTTGAATAATTTTAGAGGATGGAATTAAACAATTTGATTAACTTTAGTCACTTCTAATGAAGAAGGGCTCACTGGTGTTCTCAGTGGGAGAATGCCACTGAATCACACCTGTTTAAACCGCCTGTCAAAGCAGTGTAGATTCTCTGCTTTTCTATAGGAAGATACCATGAGTTCATATATTTCTTTCAAGTGCTGTCTGGTGGCCCTAAAGGAATTGCTGAATTAGCGTTAAGCACAGTAAGACATTTTTTACCACTTTCTGGAACATGGAGTATAATTCTTCAAAAGTAGAAAGTTCCAATCTCATTTAGTCATGCTTTTGTTTATAAAATTAAAAATTATAGGTAAAAATTTGGCAAAATAAGCTGCTTTATTTATGATGATGTTCTTTATAATTCTGAGAGCCTGCTCAGATAACAGCATCTCTGAGGCTGAACTATTATTAAGAAACCATGGAGTATGGCTTAGAATAACCTGTTTAGGTTTATGTTACAAAAAGAATAATTAAAACATGAGTTTCAGTTTATCTAAAAAAAATTCCATTCTTAACATTATCCTGGAAGGGAGCATCTGTCTTCTGCATTCACACTGCTCCATTCTAGTGTAGATTCTCAGGACAGAGCTAGAGATTAACAGTATAACAAAACTAACTAAAAAAAAGAGAAGGTCTTCCATTTTGAGTTATGGGCCAATCTAGCTAGTTTTTTTTTTCCTCAAGGAGTCACAAATCCAAAACATTTCTATTATATATTCACAAGGAATAAGTATTTATGAGACCAGAATTTATGCAAACTTCTCAAGAAATACGGTAGCTTGGGCAGAAATTACTACAAAGGCACATTTGCCCTGAGATGCCATCTCTCAGTTCCACACTGAGGACATGTGTAGCCGATGAACTGGGTCAGATAATGTGTGAAGGCAAGAGACCAAAATATTCTGGGAGTAAAACCAGCTTTGATCCCTTCTGACAACATAAGCAAGGCCTTTGCACAGAAGTATATCACAGCTGGGAAGGCAGCCAAGAAACCTTGTATTCTTTTCTATCATAAACCCTGCCAAATCATAGCTGATTTAACTATTGCAGATTGTCAGCCCATTAAAACTAATTAATTTTTAGACCAAATAGCCACTGTCTTTCTGTTTTACTAAAAGTGGTAACGGGATAGTTTTGGGGCACAAAGTTCTGAGAACTCAGATGAAATCTGGACCAAATGTATTGTTTCACTTGCGAAGCTGCAATGTTTGTGGAAGAAACTTGCACTATGTAGTACATTACTTCCTAAGGAATAAGGTACTATGATCAGAGTCCATTAAAAATAGCATGTTTCACAATTAGTTTTTTTCCTCATAAAATCTCAAGTTTGATACATCCTGGCAACAAAATTATTAACGATGAAGAATGAACAAACTGATGGCCAGCCATCCCTTTCCTTCTGGCATATAAATGTACTTTAAATAACACATCCAGGTCACTGCAGGCTAATACTAATGTAGTATAACTATACAATGTGAATTATTTTTGCATGTTTATAAGAAAATTACTTACTAGTAATGAGTTTTACAACATAATGGACTTTACTATAGTGAATTTTACAATATTAAAGACTGTGTACTTACATCAACAATCAGGAAGTCCAGCCAGCACCAGGCATTAGTGAAATATATTTGAAAACCATATGCTACCCATTTTAAAAGCATTTCCAAAATGAAAATATACGTGAAAACTTTGTCAGCATATTCCAGCATGGTCTTGATAGTTTTGCGCTGTTCAATATATATATCTTCAAAAGCCTATGAAAAAAATATATTCAGGTATTACTAATGTTTCACAGAATATACATGATAAAAAGAAGGAATAAATAATAAAAAATAAGTAGGTCAGAGCTAATCTTTCCCCTTGTTCTTCTGCATCCTCTTATTTTACGTATTTCCTATCTTTAACCATACTACAAATCGGAGCAACTTTATGTATTCTGCCCCATCTGGGGTTGAATATTTTCCTATGAATGAATAAATACACTCAAAGCATGAATTTTTGTCCACTGTGGTATTAAGAAACTTTCACATACACACACAAAAAAAACCCTTTCTTATACAAAATCTGTTCCAGACATGTATATTCCATTCTAGAAAGGAGTTAGGGAGATTATATTTCTGTGCTCTATCAATCAAACTTATGGCTAAATGTCAAATTAAAGAGCAATGTAATTGCTAGAATATACACTATGCACATTGATACTGTAGCAAATGTTCAACTTGAGTAAAGCTGGAAAGGTGGGTAATGTAATCTTGTTGGAAAGTAGTTGTTAGGTTTAATTTGCTGTCACAGTCTTCCCTATCTCCTGCCTCCAAAAAAGGAACAGAATGAATTAATTATTCCATTTTTTGTATGGTCTTTCATAAGCAGAATCCAAGAAGTGGCTGAGTCTAGAAGGAATTAAGGACTTAAAATCATACATTTAGCTATATATTCACAGTTAACAACGGTCCTTTGTACTCAAATCTCTTGATGAACATGCTGAAAATTGGCAGGCAATTTAAATCTTGAGTAGCTATGCTGGCTTAAATAAAATTGCACCAGCTTTACAGTGGTAAACCAAAAGTATCACTAAAAAAGTGCATGTGAAATTTAACAAACTTTTTCAAGTTTGGGCCAAGTTTAAATCCATCCTGAAATGATGGAGTTTTATACAGCTCCAAGCAAAACAAGTCTTTCTGAAGCAAATTTGAATTTTGTTGTTGCTTCTAGGGAGTTATCTAAATATTTCAGCATCTGCAATTTTTTTCTACTTACTAGTGCTCCACTGCTGAGGAGAATCATGAAGACAATGAAAGTCTCAAACCAGTTGTGCTCAACTATGCTGTAGCAGGTTTTTCTAAGATTCCACCAAATTTTTCCTTTGCCATCCTCTATACTTACTTGACAACATGGAAATTTCTGCACACAACCTGCATTAGATTAAGAGATATTAGGATCCCAAAGCAAATTATTTCAAAGTCAATATTTACTGTGATATCAACATTATTAGAAGCTTTAACAAATTTTATAATAATTTTTCAAATTAAACACTGCAATCCTCTTTCATAGGATGCTGAATATCTGAATTTAGATAAGCAATTTGGAGAGAAACCAGACAAATGTAGACATAATTATGAGTAAACTCAATCCAAAGACATTGATATTTTTGACAGTTGACATGTAAGTATTCCATTTGTTGATGGAGTCTCACAAAAATTAATTTGTTCCAAATTTCAAGGGCCCTTTCAAATAACTGAAAAGCATTTTAAGAATAGAAAAGTTAATGGAGTTTCTTAGTTACAAGGTGTATGCCGTGGCCAGGCAGATAAAGTTACTCAAAGCCTTGTTTTGGCATCTGATTTCCAGCATTCTAGGCTAAGAGTATTTTCTTTTGATTGTTGAAGTTCCACCAGATTTGAAAGTCTCAAGAACTTAAATATGCCTGGTAATAATGCCATTTTACTAATACATCTCTTAAGTCAACAGTTATTCTACAACCTTCTGTAAAACAGGCTTCTGGTTCAAGAGCTTCTTCACTTTCAATTTCTGCTTGCTCGCCCTCTCCAGGAGGAGCAATATCAACTGTGCTGCCTTCTGATGAACTGGATGCATTTAGTTTCTGCAAGTAAAGTTCCACAGAACAATTTTGTCTCATTAGATAAATATTCTGTAAAAAATTATACTGAATCAAATCATGCCAGTCTCTGACTTTTGAAGAATGCTAAATTTATACTGATAAATATGCATCACCATAAGTAAAAACATAGTAATGATATCTACATTGTATAGTCCTGTTTTCCAGTTTATCTTCTCATAGGGAACAATTAAATATAATTTGGCTACTAACCTGATCCACGTATAAGACTTCTGAAGTATTCTCAGCAGTATTAAAACTGGAGAGCTTGCATGTACCACACTCTCGAGTAATTTCATTTTCTTTACTATACTGGATTACACTGACAATGTGTCTTAGTTTTCCCAGCGAAATGAACTAACAGAAAGCTCCACATATATCTTCATGTCCACTACAGATGGTGTTTTCACAAACATACACCATATCTGGATTAAAAAGTTGTAAATTTAATGGCATTTAATGGCAAATTTCTGCACAATTTGATTTTTGCAGAAAGCACAAATTACCAGATCTGAAAAATCTTCTTTGCATTCCAGTCTCTTGTGCGTATTGAGAGACCTCCTGAGGTCCTTTCCATCCTGAATTTTTCTATCATTCTACTACTTTTGTGTACAGTGAAATACTATAGTCCTTACTACGGGTAAAAGCACTTCTAGATCTGAAAACTGCAAAAATTGGAGAGTGATATAGAGCAACTGAAATTAAGTAACTTTTTACCAAGTACATTGAAATTTGGATCAGGTCAAGCTGTTTATCAGTCATGTAAGACTGCCCATAATTTTGTCCTTTTAAGAAAGCATCTTTTGAAAGGACAAACCTGCTAAAGATGCACCCTACTAATGCAAAAATTAGACATAGAGTTTGTAACTTGTTTTCAGTTGTGAATACTGTTTGCGTCTTTAATTGCTTTCATCCAAAATACATTCTCTTTTATTGTGAAATAAGGCTTGTAATCAGAAAGCAACATTAAAAAAAGCATGGCAGTGAAATAGTTCTGATTTATACCATGTAGCAGTAATACATAGGAATTTCAAGGGGGATCTAGAATGCACCTCTAACTTAAATACTTTAAATTGTACAGGCACTGATGTAACAAAAGGGCATTTGGTCACAGACTAGATTTGTGGTTTCAGCTAAGCAGATCTGGTCATGCCCTTTGACCTATATGAAGACCTTTCTATACAAATTTTTTGAGAGAATGCTTAATACCAGTTACTTTTCACATTTAGTTTTCAAGATAGTGACATTTTTAGAATATAAAAAAAAGACTGTTCAGATTATTTGAATGATTTTGCAAGAGACAATAAACCATAACTTTTTAAAGAGGCATTTCCATGTATTCCCTTCTTCAGAGACACTGCTGCAAACTAAAACTAGTTATTTAACTCCTCAATTAAAACCCAGTCCCTTCAGGAAAATGCATTGGAAGCTAAGGGCTTTTTTCTGCCAGAAATGAAGTAAATTGGTAAACAATTCTTTCCTCATATTCAACTCTTACATGAGATGAATGAAGTTTAAAAAAAAAATTCATGCTGGGTGATGGATAATTTCAGGGTTAAGTTTCAAGAAGCTGCCCTTCACTCACACATGCAAATGTAGTCAATATAGGGTCACTCAGACCTCAGGTTGCATGGCTGTTACTGCATTGTGACCAAAAATAAAGGACTTGTCGCGTAATAGAAAAGCACACAGGTATGAGTTTGAAAACCATTCTTTCCCTTTTTAAATATCTTGATCTCTCATACATGGAAAATCATGCTGACAAATGTGAAAAGATTTGAATAAATGCATTGAGATTTGGATGTTTCCAATGGTTAATTTTTGCTTAGTAAACATGTTAAAATATCATGTTTCCTTTTTCATACTGCACTTTCTCTATGATTTCCAAAATTTATATATGTAAAAAAGTTACAGCTGTATTGCCTCTAAATGGAATCATTTTATTACTAGTCATGTAGATCAGTAAGTCTGAAGTAAAATATTGTGTACCTCATACAGTGAGAATATTTTCAACTTTGCTTTCTGTATTACATTTACAGAATGCACATTAATGTACACTACATTAAGCATTATTAGCACACCACCTTATTATCCACACATAAGGCTCTCTTTTAAAACGGAAATAAGATTTGTGAATTAACTCTCTTATTATATATCATTGTAATACAAAGAAATAAGAAGTCTGAAACCCGTCACTGAAATTATAGGCAGTTTCTTCATTAAATAAAACCCAAATATTGTGAAAATAATAATCTGTCACATTCAAGTAAGGAAAATTAAAACTAATTCATGGCCTGATCCATCATCGTTAAATCAATTATTGACTTAATAGTAGCGAGATGAAGGTTCATAGTAAATGTCAATTATTAATCTATATGAGTGCCAATTAAAAGGCAGTCAATTTTTTAACTGCATCTTCCCATGTAAACTCTGTTGCAGATAGTCCTGTCAGCATAGTTGCTAAAAACCAAGTGACAGAAGTGCAATTTATAATCAGTACAAACAAACCCTACTATAATTCTTTTCATTATTTTTCACATAAAGCATTCTCCTCATTATTTTTCAAATAATCTCAAACAATTGCATTATAAAAAAAACCTCATTCAGAATAAAACTCCTCTTCTTTGCTTCAAGACCCTAAATTAGGAAAGAACCATTGCATTTTAAATGAGGTGACTTCAATGATCTTTTTTTTCCCCTAGCAATAAAACTAATAAAACTAATAGGAAACTCAAGATACGTGATGGATTAACACAATCTTCTTTTCACCTCATAAATGTGATTATCAGCCTCTAGAACTCGCCATGCCCTGTAAATACTTATTTGCATCTTCAGTGATATCACATTTTCCTTTACAAGGATACATTTGAAAGCAATTGCTTATGATGCAGCATTCTCAAGGCCTGAATCAGCAAAACAACATGCTTGACCAGAGCAGAAGCCTGAGCAATACTGTGGAAATCACACACAAAAATAAAATAAAAAATAAGACTACCTTAATGAGATTGTATTTTTCTGAAAATAATATTATAAATATTATTGTATAGGATGTAACATCAAAAATGCTTCATCACCAACCCAGATACTTGGTTAATATATGTATAATCAGCCTCCATACTGTCCTTTCAGAGCAGTGCATCTTTTTTAAACAGCTTAGATCATTAAAACAAGCTTTGACCAACAGCATGTTAATGTGCCCATTTATAAGAAAATGCATTCACTTAAGACCCAGTCTTGCTCTCATTTGATTTCATTCTAGATTTCAATAAGAGCAAGAGCAGGCTACTAAAATTTTAAGCTTTACAAACGGCTTCATGATTCAAGTGACAATAAAATAAAGGGATTCAGCCATTACAAATTGCCTTTAGTAATTCAGCCATGTGTTTTATCCTTTGAATCTTGAAAGCTGCACTGTAATTGAGTGACAAAATATAAAATAATGGGGATCAGTGATTCCAAAGTGATTCTAAACTGACTTTAAATCTCAGATCTTATGATATTTGACTTTTATATAATATTAAGAAAACCACTTTAAAAATCTCTTTCGTTAGAGTTTTATTTGATGTTTGAAGCATATCTTGGTTTAAAATTTAATCAGTAAAATCTGAGAATTTTCAGAATACACACCAGTATGAATTTCTTTTGGCATCTCTGGACAATTTATACTATGATGTAATATAGGCAGATTATATTACACTATAATCAATGGTACAAAATGAACCATTTGGTTATCCTTTTGAAGCCAGTAAGACTCCACCTGAAGGAAACAGTTTTGAATCCTGCTATAGGATTGAAATCTCAATCCCAACAAAATTTGACACCTAGTTTTATTAGGATAATTTGACCTCCTTAGTTTCATGTAACTCTGGCTCCTGTGCAATATTTGCTGTCCCTACTCCTGAAGGCTCTGTCAATTATGCATCAATGGAGATTATACTTGCCTATAATGAAAAAAAACCTAGGGTAAATATACATGGAATTTTATAAAAATGATGTTGACTACTCCATAGTCTTTCTAACGTACACCAAGTAAAGTCCCCCCAACTCAGTGACAGACTGCTATCATGAAACACATTCGAAAATACCACTATTTATGAAGGAGTTTAAAGTTTCAGAAAAGAGTATTTGTAAAATGCTTTGCTTTGAGAGTTTTTTAAGGGGGGTTATTTGCTAAGTATAATTTTAGCAATTATGAAACTGTTTGCTCTGCTTACAGTTTATAAAACTCAAGATATGCACTGCCCAAATGAATACAGAATGTAGTTTGTAGCATCTTGAATATTTGCATTACAGTGCATTGTAGATTTAAAAGTATAACTGTAATTTTTATGCAAGTAACTACTGCAATAGTTTAAATGTTATTCATTAAGGAGCTGAAGTTGTGGCAGTAATCATTATGTAAATCACTTAACACATCTCATTAAATATTTACATTTATAAGGGCTGAATCAAAAAGGGTTGTTTTTATTTTTTAAAAACTATGCATGCTCCCTTTTTCTTTGGCCTCTTCAACGTATAACATTCCAGTATTTTTATGATCCATACTTCAAAAACTGTAGAGCATGCAGTTATTGCTAAAGACTGTATTAAAATATCCAGAAAAATCATTAGCAGAGTTAAAAAATGTATGTTGGGGTTGCCAATCCCGCCTGACCATGCTGTGATGTGAGTCCCATGACTCAGCAGAGAGCAGCTGTGCATGTTTCTACTGTCTTGCAATGATAGGGAGGGTACATAGCTGAATAGCATGCAGGCCAGTCAAAATCCATTAAAAAGTGAATATATATATATATACATATATATGTATAACTTGCTTAGGTAACCTGTGTGAAAGTGGTGACACGTTGCTCTACCTGGTTAAAAAGCACCAGAGCTGCATTCTTGATTGCTCCAGCTTGGTTTTACCCCTGTGAGAAGTAAGAATGGTAGGTAGTGAAGTTCAAGACACAGGATCTCTAGTTTTCCTCTTTTTGGAATCTCTAGTT